AAGAAGATAATCATGATGATGATGGATAAAAAAATGATGATGGTTCAAAGGAAGAATAAATAGACGTAAAGGTTAAATTGACAAATTGCTAAGAGAGATTAAAAGATAATGAAGAAGAACAACGTTAAATGCGTAAGAGAGAAAGAAGAAAAAGAAATCGGCATGACAGAGTAAGAGGATGAAGGAGGAGAAGAAGAAATGTGTAAGAGAGAGAGAGAGAGTAAGAGGATGATGAAGAAAAAGAAATGCTAAGAAGGAATAAGGAGGTGAAGTAGTAGTAGTAGTAGTAGTAGTAGTAAAAGAAGAAGAAGAAAAAATGCGGAAAAGAGAGAAAGATGATGATGATTATGATGATGATGATGATGAAGAAGAAGAAATGAGGGAGAGAGAGTAAGAGAATGAAGTAGTAGTAGTAGTAGTAGTAGTAATAAAAGATAAGAAGAAGAAATGGGAAAGAGAAAGATGATGATGATGATGATGATGATGATAAAAAGAGAAAGAAATGGATAAGAAAGAGTAAGATAGAGGTGAAGAAGAAGAAGAAGAAGACGAAGAAGAAGAAAAGATGGGTAACAAAGAGTAAGAACATGATAACGAAGAAATGGGTAGGAGAAAGTAAGAAGAAAATGATAATGATGAAGAAGAAATGGGTAATAGAGAGTTAGAAGAAGAAGAAGAAGAAGAAGAAGAAGAAGAAGAAGAAGAAGAAGATCAAGAATTGATGTGTAACAGCAATTAAGAAATTGATGATGAAGAAAAAATGGGTAAGAGAAGAAGAAGAAGAAGAAGAAGAAGAAGAAGAAGAAGTCCATTTCCTACTCGTTAATTTAATCCTTTCAACATTCTCTTGTAAAAGACAGTGTAACGGTTATCGCCATGTCAAACAGTCTAAGAAATCCGAATCGAAATCTTGGCGGTAAGTCTTTATGCTCATTTCATCCCCCACCCAACCCCGATTATCTTTGTCGGAGGTAAGAATCAGTTTTACTCTGGCCTGTTTCATCGCTAGGTATCTTCACAAAATCACCTCGTTACAGGTATACTACGATGATCGACGTAGAAATGAGTGAATTAATGAGCACTTGTGCTAAAGTCTTCTGTCTACCGAAGGAGACATGAAATGAGTGCCGTCCTTTCAGGGTGTGGTCGACCGTGGCTCTCTGCAACTTCCTGCCTTTTTTAGCCCTTAGTAAGGTATGTCTTTTTGCTATATCCCCTAATCCCTGTTCTAACATCCGTTAGGTGGGTTATGAGCTGCTTTCCTCTGTCCCGCTCGCTTTCACTATGACCTGTCAGTGTTAAATTCTCCAAGCCCTCTTTCCTCATTATGTGTCCTAGAAATTTCAATTGTCTCTTTTTCATGTTACTCATAAGTATTATTTTCTCTAAAACTTCTTCGTTGATCAATTGTTCGGTCCCTGGTATTCTCAGCATCCTCCTGTAGAACTACGTTTCTGTTGCCTTAAGTCCCTTTTCTATCTGTAATGTAATAATCCAGCATTCACTGTCACATAGGAGTCCCGAGTTTTCTGTAATTTAATCTTATGTTTCTTTTATTCGGATTGGGTGATGATCCCGAATTTTAGAATACATTTGGTACCCAGCCGGTTATATCAATCTACAAGTAGGCTTCGTGCTATGTACTCGTGTTCAGTGATTACGGGAGGTTTTGTAACGTAATATTGAAACGGCTCTGCAATCTTTACAATGACTGACAAATTTCGGTTGGAATGTACATTTCAAGACCTGTCAAGTATTGGTTGAAGGCGTTGAGTGTTCATGGTGAACCAGCAAAACATCGATAAATGTGGGGAAAAAACATGAACATATCCATGAAGGCTATCGCCAACTAATCCATTAGATTTCTCAAATGAATCAGTTATGGAATTAGCCAGGATATTCAACTCTGGGATCTTTTTGATCTTCTACGCGTCGTAAAATTCCAGGATGGGGGTGACCATGATTCGCCACAACCTCTTATACAATGTACCTCTTAGCAACGTCTGTACTTTTGCCAAAGCCTTACAATTCCCGTTGTGTCACCCATTCACACGAGCTGATCAGGTAGCCGACGTGTTGCCCTCCCAGCCTGTCACTTTTGCCTTCGATATGTTTTGTGAGTGTCAAACTTTCTAAGACCTCCGTTCTCATTATGTGTCTAAGAAATTTTCCCTCTCTCCTTGATTCTGAGTATACTTGTCCTTTTTGTTTCCATTTTCCTTAAGACTTCTTCGATTTTTACACGCTTCGCTTTAGTATTCTCAGCATCCTTCTGTAGAATGTTATTTTTTGTTACCACCTTCGCAGTTTTCTCTTCGCCCGTTAGAAGATTGTCAGCATCCATTGCCAAATATAAGTATTGATATTACGTAAAAAAATCAATCGATTCTCACTAGATGTCCAACACTCTCTGCCTTATGCCACATCTAAACTACCCCCCGAATAACATTTGCTTCGTATTTTTGACATGGAAGCTGCGCTTAGAAAATTACCATAACAGTTCAACATTTATTGTTTCTAACGAAATTTTCCTGTTTCTTAATACTTTGCTTAGCTTTGGGATGCGTCTTTTTGCTATTACAATGTACATTCGAATTTCAGTGTCTTATTTTCCATTTTCTGTTAAAACACTTCCCCGATATTTAAACTTCTATACTTGTTTGTTGACATCACACATTCGTAGTTCGTATTCGTAGTTCTTGCCCACAACCGTACAGTCTTACAGTTGATAGTCCTTTCTTCTCCTTTTCTTTTACTACTTTGTCTAGGAGGTCCTGTAGATTTCTTTCTGTGTCTCCCACCAACGCAGTGCCATATCTTATATTGTTAAAATTACGTCCACCGATAATAAAACCTGGTAGGGCCTCCATGTTCCTTTTTTTTTTTTTTAAGCATTTCACCCCAAGCAAGGCGGGAAGCCACTCGCTGTAGAGGTTAAATAAATACAGTGAGAGGACGTATGTTAGCCCCTATTTTTGTGTAGCTTATCAAATCATTTTCTATGCATATGCAGTTCCCAATGTCTATGAAAAATAAAAATGCATTGTTAGTCATTTTATTATAAAAAATGTACTGTTCATTTTTGTCTGGGGGAGTTCTTTATTTGCCCTTAGCTGGGATCTTAACAAGTGCTACCAACCAACATCAGGGTAGACCTGGGAACATCAACAGTTTCCACGCTCCTCAAAAACGTCAATCTCCCGATCAGAGACTGTGATTCTATAATTTTTTGCTTGTTGAGAGAAAAACGGAAATTTTTCGATTTCTTTTCCGGGCAGATTAGTACAGAGGACGTCTTAATAAAAGTAACTTTTTTTTTTTTCAGTAGAAGGTTTTAATCCAAAAAGTGTTTTCTTTTATCATTTCACCCCAAACAAGGCAATAAAGCCATTACGATGCAAGGTCATATTGAGTGTTACAGAATATGAGAAAATAATCTGGATTATACTAATATTCACCCGGAGCATGAAGCAGAATTAGACCAGAAATAGGACAAGACCATCGCCAAAAGACATTGGAACAAGAAATGCTGTATTTAATGATGTTAATGATATCGGAAAGGGTAATATAAATGCAGAAAGCTTTTCACGTGTTTTTTTTTTTTTTTTAGAGATCACGCAAAAGCTTTTAAGTTGTGGTACAAAGATCTTTCCGATATAATCCCCTAATTCCTTTTCAGAGGGGATTATCTGCTCTATTTATAGCTTAACTTCTTTTTTTTCTTTCATTTTTTCCCTCCTTTCCCAGCTTGTTTTGCTTTTCTTTGCCTTCTCTCTCTCTCTCTCTCTCTCTCTCTTAGATTACTTTTTAATCTTTCCTTCTTTCTTCATGATTCCAGTCACAGTTTTATATAGAGTAAGTAGTTGATGTCATATTTATTTAAGCTACAAACGATGCGATCCTAAAAGAATTTGGAAAGAGGGCTTTGAGAATAACTCTATCTATCTATCTATCTATCTATCTATCTATATATATATATATATATATATATATATATATATATGTGTGTGTGTGTGTGTGTGTGTGTGTGTGTGTGTATGTATTAAGAGCAAGAGAGGCAGAGGGAAACGGCGAGTAATCTCTCATTTCCATACTTTGTATTCATCTACTTTCACTTTCTAATACTCCCTCTCTCTCTCTCACTGATTTAATTCTCTATCTCTCTCTTTATGTCCCTCCGCTCTCTCTCTCTCTCTCTCTATCTCACAGGTAATTTTCTTTTTCTGTTCATTCCTCTCCTTTTCTTACACTATTCCGTCTTTTCTGCTTTCAGTCTCTCTTCCTTTTTTTCTTTTTCTCTAAGATTATTTCTTTTCTCGATCCATTTAAATTTCTCTTCTTTTCTTATACTGTTCTCTCTTCCCCTTCTTTCTTTCTTTCTTTCTTTCTTTCTTTCTTTCTTTCTTTCTTTCTTTCTTTTAAACTCTCTGTCTCTCTCTTCCTCTCAGATTTTTTCCTTCCTTGATCCATTCTATTTCTCTCTTTTACTTAAACCATTCCGCCTTTCTCTACTTTCTTTCTTTCTTTCTTTCTTTCTTTCTTTCTTTCTTTCTTTTTCTTTTATTTTTCTTTCTTTCAGATTATTTCTTTTCTTTTTATTTTCTTTTTTCTTTTTTCGTCTTTTTCACTTTTCCCATCTTTCTTTCTTTCTTTCTTTCTTTTCTTTTCTTTTTTATTTTCAGATTATTTCTTTTCTTGAAATATTTATTTTCTTTTTCTTACACTTTTCTTACACTTTTCGTTTTTTTTCTTTTCTTTTCTTTTCTTTTCTTTCTTTCTTTCTTTTTTATTTTTCTTTTTCTTTCTCTCTTCTTTCTTTCAGATTATTTCTTTTCTTGAAATATTTATTTTCTCTCCTTTTCTTACACTATTTCGTCTTTTTCTTTCTTTCTTTCTTTCTTTCTTTCTTTCTTTCTTTCTTTCTTTATTTCGCTTTTTATTTTCACTCTCCCTTTCTTACTCTCTCTTTCAGATTATTTTTTCTTATTCATTTTCTTTTTTCTTTCACTATTTCTTTTTTTTCTTTCTTTCTTTCTTTCTTTCTTTCTTTCTTTCTTTCTTTCTTTTTCAGATTATTTCCTTCTTCAATCCATTCAATTTCTCTCCTTTTCTTACATCATTCTGTCTTTCTCTGTCTTCCTCTATTTTTTCTTTATTTCTCTTTTTCTCACTTTCGTTTTCTTCCTCTCTCTCTCTCTCTCTCTCTCTCTCTCTCTCTCTCTCCTTCTCAGACTAATTCCTTTTTCGATCCATTCAATTTCTCTCTTTTCCTTGGACTATTTCGTCTTTCTCTGCCCCCCCCTCTTTCTCTTTCTCTAGTTCTTTTCTTCCTTTCGATTCATTCAGTTTCTCTATCTGTCTTTCTCCGCGGTAACATTCTCTCTTTCATTCCTCCTTCCTTTGATTATATCCTTTAATTTCTTTTTTTTTTTTTAATTTTATTTTCCCTCCTTCAGCTAATTAATTTATTCTCTCTATGCGCTTTCCGCTTTCTTTCTTCCCACGCCAGTTCACCAACCCGTTCTCCTCTTTCCGTCTCCCCTTTCCCTGCTTCGATAAAAGCCATAGCGAGGGAACCAGGTTAAAGAACGATCTTCATAGCCAGCCGAGCTTAGCGTCGTCCTGCCTGTCTTGGTCAATGCTTTGGGGGTTTTGCTGGGAGATTCGGCCGAGATGGAATCACATGGTTCTTGAGTCGATTGATGTCAGCTCCGATCCTCAAGAGATTGATCGGTGTGAGAATAAGCATCTAATTTCTGAAAAAATGGTGCGTATGGAAAATAACTCTTTAAAATCGAGTACGTGGGAAGAGACCTCAGTTGACACGAGGTCTAAGCAATTTGACGCGGCCAAAGAGACAAGCGATTAGTAGTTAATTATTGCATATGTATGTATATGGTAGCATTTAATACACATCTACGATACTGTTGGTTGGTCGTTTTTATTTGGCGGCATATCAACATCTGTGGGTTATTGAATGCCGAAATTTAAATAGTTTGTACGCAATGTTATGCCTTTAACTACAGATATGTTTTACATAATTTCAGAGTAAATGCATTTTTTAAATATATATTTTGTAGATCATAAAATGTATTGATGGGAATTTTAATATAACAATGTATTTTATATTTCTTTTAGTGTTGCATTGTCATTTAGCTATAAAAAATGCATTGTTGATTATTTTGTTATAAAAATGTACTGTTGATTTTTTTGTCAGGGAGGGGGGCACTATTTGCCCTTACCAGGGACCCTAGCAGGTGCTATCACCCCGGGTCAGGGTAAATCTGAGAACAACAACAGTTAAGAGGTGTTTCCACGGTCCTCAAAACCGCCAATCTCCGGTTCAGAGACTGTGATTCTATAATTTTTTGCTTGTTGAGATTTGAAAAACGGAAATTTTTCGATTTCTTTTCCGGGCACATTAGTACAGAGGACGTCTAATAATAAAAGTAACTTTTTTTTTTCAGTAGAAGGCTTTAATCCAAAAAGTGTTTTCTTTTATCATTTTACCCCAAACAAGGCAATAAAGCCACTACGATGCAAGGTACTATTGAGTGTTACAGAATTTGAGAAAAATCTACTATTAAAAAGAGAGGACAATAAACGAAGAAGAATTAAAAAGATAGAAGATAACGATTGACATTGTATTTACATTTTTGAAGATCAAATTTGACTGGGAAGCAAGAAACTAGAGAGTTCCACAATTAAGAAGTGCGATAGAAGAAACTGTTGACATAGAACTTACGGTTATATCTAGCCATTTAAATTGTAAACTGATAAGACATTGACAATCTAGTACTGCGATTAAATTCATAAATTCTAGATACCATAGCAGAAAGTTCATCAGAACAATTACTATGAAAGTATCTATAGAAAATTTAGGGGAAAGCTACGTCACAGCGGTGGGAAAGGGTCTGAAACCGAGATGCCAGGTCAGAATCAATAACATTGCTGATACTTCTTTGGATTTTATTAAGAATCTTTAGATACATAGCAAGAGCATCAGACCAGATGTGGCAGCAATATTCAATGCATGAAAGAATGGTAGACTTGTAAATATGCAAGATAGATTCTGTCAAGAAAAACTGTCTAGCTTGACAAAGTGAATCACCTTTCTTAGCTGAAGACTTAGCAATTCATTCAATATACTCTTTCCACTTCATGTCAGCTGAAAGTGTTAGTTTGAGAAAGTACAATGAGTCACTCTTCTGGAAGTTAGCATTGGTCATAATGATGGAAGGTAAAATCTTTTCTCTCAGATGATTAAAAGAGAGCAGTTTCGTTTTAAAATTAACAAGCCATTCCTTGCTCCGTTTAAAAACAGGTTGTAGGTCATTTTTAGATCAGTTGCCTATTTGACCTCATCGAACCGATCAGACTCACTATTAAGACAGGAGTAAATAGTTGTGTCATCAGCAGAGATAGCAAGTTGAGAACCAATGACATCAAGGTCATTGATGAAAATTACTTTAAAAACTACTCTTGAAACCTAACGTACTAACAAGTATACATGCTATTTTCTCTGATTTCCGAAATTATCAATGTGAGATGTGCCCACCACTTGAGCTGTGCACAAACCTAAATAGTCACCGTTCTATGAAATTTAGTAGCTAACTGATAGATGTACTTCATTCTGAGCGGTAAATGACTTATTTTTCTTTTCCCTTCAGGACGTAGACAGTCATGCCTCTTCACAACTTCCTATATCTTGTAGCTCTTAGTTTGGGCACCTGGGGGCGGTGTAATGATTAGCAAGCTTGTCTTGCTAGAACAATTACGACTGAATAGTGAGCTCGATCCTCACTGGGTGCCCTATACTTTCGGCCTTGTGCCATATCTAAGCTACGCTTGTAAAATCACTATCTTGTAGCTCTTAGTAACGATTATCTTTTCATTATCAGTCCCAGGCCCTTTTCTACTATGCATTTCCACAAGCTCGTTAGGTAGGTTACTTGCCTTTTTCATCAGTCCTCTATGTCTTAACTATGTCCTAGGAGTGTTAAATTTTCCAAACCGTCCTTCTTCATTATTTGTCCTAGAAATTTAATCTTTCTGATTCTCAATATAAGCGTCCTTTTTGTTTCCATTTTCCTTAAAACTTACTCCTTACTCTCATGTTCCGTCTATTGTATGTTCTACTGAAAGATGCTAAGAATCATCTTTCACTAGTACCACATCTCTTTCGTCTCAACTTTCCTTTTCATGTGTGAAGAGATTGTCCAGCATTCGCTGTCATACAGGAGAACAGATATCACGTAACAATCCAGTACAATTTTCTTAGTTTCTAACGAAATTTTTCTGTCCCTTAATACTCTGCTTAGCTTTTGGAATGCATCTTTGACCATCCCAATTCGTCTAGAATTCCTTTTAAATTCATGAAGTCCAATTACCATAGCGCGGAGAAAACTTTTCATAAAATTTATTTGAAATAACGTCATTTACAAATTAATGTGGGCTGAATAGCAGAGTAAACGAAGCTCTCTAGCCTTGGTTGCCATCCAGTCTAGAGGAAGAACAACTCTGAATTAAAAACAACAGGAAACCACTTCATGATATGGCAATTCACAGTAAAGTTAATGGATTCTGGAGAGAGCCATAATTGTCTTTTTCCTGAAGGGACAAGCATTAAAAAAAGCAGTTAATCCTGCAGGTCAATTCCCTTAACGTCTTCTTCTTTTATGTGCCGTGTCCTTTCAGGACATTGGCAAACATGGCTCTCCACATCTTCCTGTCCCTTTGTTGTAAAGTAGTTTTCACAGTGGGGGCTTGTATTTCACTAAGTCGTCCTAAATTAGGTTCGACGTACAAAACGTTAGGAACTTGAAATAATAGTTAATGACGCAGCAATCTAGTTGTGGTGGATTGATACTTCAGTGTCCGACATCGACTGACTCACTCAACTCCACTGAGCCCAACTGGCGACCGCTACTATTACTACTACTTATTATGTGTGGGAGAGTCTATTACAATAGAATAGGTAATGTTCTGGTATAACACCCTTGTAGCTCTTAACAAGTTTTGTCTTTTTGTTATTTCTCCCAAACCTTGTTCTGCCATCCATTTGCTCAAACCTATCAAGTATATTACGCGCTGCTTTCCTCTGTCCGTCTTTCCCTGAATCTGTCCCATCAGTAGCACGTCAAAAGCCAGGATTGTTGATCAATCTATAGAAATTGTGTAACCCGGGATCATTTCAGTGAATTGTGGCGCACAAAACTGCAAGGCGCCCACGCTTCTTTATGCTTAACGTTTATGTCAATCCACCAAAGAAAAATTGTTTGATGTCTATTTGCTTGATTTTCGAGTAAACATTGCAATTTTCACAATTTGTTTGAAATGGTTCAGAAACTGAAAGAATAGTGTTTTGTTTTCGGTCTCCAATGGCGTAACAAACAATTTAATGATCTTAGGTTCTGTACACGACAGTACTTAGGCATACCTGCGCTGTTTAGCTTTGTTATGTAGGCTCTTTTATCTACTATAGTACTTATAAAATGTTTGTTTTTCCGTCCTTTGCACATTGTGGCCTTAAGCCATCTATCATTGGTTAATTTATCTTTGTCATAATATTTGAGATAAACTGAACCAGTGTAAATGTTTTTCAGTTTGTAGAGCAGGGAATAAATTCGCAACCAAGTAAATATATACATTTCTCGTTTACAGACTCCATCTTGTACATTTATAAATCTACCATTCGCCCGTGAATTGAATACTGCTGCCATATCTGGTCTGGTGCTCTTGTTGTACATCATCTCGAGATTCTTGACAAATTCTAAAGAAGAATCTCTAATTTAATCGGTCCTGACTTGGCATCTCGACTTCACTCACTTTCTCACCGACGTGACGTGGCTTCCCTCTGTCTTTTCTACAAATATTTTCATGGCAACTGTTGTGACGAGATTTTTTTCCCTGCCACCTCAACTGCGTGAATTTAATCGCGCAGCTGGATTGGTATCTAGGTCTCACCGTTTTACTGTTAAAATAGCTAGATGCAACCGCCACATCTTTTTCTCGCACTTCCCACTTGTAGAGCTCCCTTTCGATTTCTTGCTTCCGTGATAACTACAGTATTAAAAAATTGAAGTGCGACGTCAATCGCCATCATCCTTTTTCTCGAACCCTGTTCCTTTCTGTCCTTTTCTCAATCATCTTCATTTTCTTTCATTTTCGCTCACCTGCCTTTTAGTAAAATTATCGACTTTCTTAGAGTGAAAAGATTAAAAATGTTAACCATAGCAATCTTTGATATTTAAAATTAGTTAAATTAGGTTGGTTAATTTAATTAAATATCAAACATTGTTGGGTTGTTTAATGTCGAATATAAGATGTACAGGATAAAAAACCCCAAGGATTTAAGGAGACATAGGTTTGGTTTGCACTAGAAAACAACACAAGAAAAATGTGGTCATACGTTCTGTTTACAGCAAAGTAAAAAAAAATGTAGTCATACGTTCTGTTTACAACAAAGTAAAAAAATGTGATCATACGTTCTGTTTAGAGCAAACTAAGAAAAATGTAGTCATACGTTCTGTTTACAGCAAAGTGAAAATAATGTAGTCATACGTTCTGTTTACAGCAAAGTAAAAAATAATGTAGTCATACGTTCTGTTTACAGCAAAGTAAAAAATAATGTAGTCATACGTTCTGTTTACAGCAAAGTAAAAAATAATGTAGTCATACGTTCTGTTTACAGCAAAGTAAAAAAAATGTAGTCATACGTTCTGTTTACAGCAAAGTAAAAAAATGTAGTCATATGTTCTGTTTACAGCAAAGTAAAAAAAATGTAGTCATACGTTCTGTTTACAGCAAAGTAAAAAATAATGTAGTCATACGTTCTGTTTACAGCAAAGTAAAAAAAATGTAGTCATACGTTCTGTTTACAGCAAAGTAAAAAATAATGTAGTCATACGTTCTGTTTACAGCAAAGTAAAAAAATGTAGTCATACGTTCTGTTTACAGCAAAGTAAAAAAAAAGGTTGTCATACTTTCGTTTTACGCAAGAGTCAAAAAAGTTTTAAAAAAACAACAATTAATCAATAAGCTTGCAGATTTCATTTACTCGAAGCCATTTTTAATCATCGATCTGAGAAAGCAGTTGTATACAACTGACAGTTTAGATATTTCTTGCGTTTGGCGTCATGCATGACATCAATATGAGAAGAGACTATTTAAGAACACAACACAGAACAACACAACTCATAGTGGGACAAACCATCTATCCGTTGTTGTTGAACAGTTTTGTAAAGTGGCTCTCAACCATTTTTTTTTTCTTTTTTTTACCGGAGGTCCACTTTTACTCTTATTTTGTTTGTGGTCCTCACAAACATTTGATGAAAAGAATTATACTTTTTACTAATAGATAAGTTAAAGAATTGTATTGTAAAAATGTATATGCTTTACATGTGGTGGAGTAATGGATAGCGGCTTGGATTAAGGAATCAGAGAGCTGAGTTCGAATTCCACTCAAATCCATTACATTCACTCACATGCTAATACACTTGGGAAAGGTATGAATCCTCTTCTTTTCCTATGGTTAAATTGCAGGTCAAACCGGGCTCTATAGCCTTGAGTGGCAACTGGTCTATAATACAAAGAAACCTTGCAACGGGAAAAAAATCTGTCTCCTCACTCATGTACCGAAAGATACATGATCGCCGAAGCGTGTATCACGCACGGCACATAACGGACTGATATGCTTTATATTTTGAAGTACAACTAACAGAATTGATACAAAACCACAAGAATAGGGCGCACAGTGAGTTAGATTAGGTTGGCCAATTTGATTTCATGTCAAACCGTGATGGATTATTTAATGTGACGTATAAGTTTTGCAGGATAAAAATCCTAATGATTTAAGGAGACATAGATCCTGTTTATGCTAGCAAGAATTTTACCGCCCTGTAATATATACTGTGGACTATCCTATTGTTGATCGACGCGGTTTGTAGACTTGAGCTTACCGGCCTTTACGACGTGTAAGGGTCAGGCACAGGCACAGGCACATCAGTTCCTAGGAACCGATAGCCAGGCAATCTGCACATTTGGTTTGATTATAGGGGTGAAGGTTTCTGTGCAGAACAAACCACATTTTTAAAAAGCCGAATACAGATACCTGGTGCACCGTGTGCTACAAGTTCCCAGTGACAGGTTCAGAGTTCAGAATTCAGAGCTGTCCTTCTTCAGTTGCCATCCAAGGTTATAGAACCCAGGCTGTACTGCTATTTATTAGATCGTATTCAGCAACTGAAGTTTGCAGATTTGTATGAAACTCTGAGTCGTGCTATCGATCTTGGATATTATCTATATTCACTAATATATACATAATAGCTCCGTTTTATAACATTGAGCACTCTAGTTATAACACCTGAGAGAGAAATATATACGTATGGAGGTGCAAGTATATGTGAGCATATACATACTTTTTAGTCATATCTATCTATCTATCTATCTATCTATCTATCTATCTATCTATCTATCTATCTGTGTGTGTCTATATGTGATTGTGTATATCTGTGATTTCTTTGAGATAATAATAATTTAGTGATACAAGTCTTACTGATTAACCCATAGCTGTGTGAAGAAGAGGTATATTCGTATTTACAATCAGTTCACCACAAACAAGGCGATAATGCCACTAAGACGCAAGGCGATAATGCCCTTAAGAAGCAAGGCGATAATGCCACTAAGACGCAAGGCGATAATGCCCTTAAGAAGCAAGGCGATAATGCCACTAAGACGCAAGGCGATAATGCCTTTAAGACGCAAGGCGATAATGCGACTAAGAGGCAAGGCGATAATGCCACTAAGATGCAAGGCGATAATGACCTTAAGACGCAAGGCGATAATGCCACTAAGACGCAAGGCGATAATGCCCTTAAGATGCAAGGCAATAATGCCACTAAGACGCAAGGCGATGATACCCTTAAGACGCAAGGCGATAATGCCACTAAGACGCAAGATGTGAAACTGGAAGAAAAACTTTAGAAGGAACAAGAAATCAAATCTAAAACAGGAAACAATAAATACGCCTCTACTCCTGTTCCAAAAAAAACTGGAGAGGAGTGTGAAACGAACGATAGGCGAACTTATCTACTCCTATTGAGGAAAAATGAATACATAAATAATAAGTAAAATTTCATAATTTAAGCGGAGACGTTAGAAGTATGGCGTTGAGTAGACTTTAGAAGGAACCGGAAACCCAATCCTGAACAGGAAACAATGGATAAACCTCAACTTCTATTCAAATGACCGGGAGGAGTGTGAACCGGATAATAGGCGAACCTATCTACTCCTACTGAGAAAAAATAAATAAATGAATAAACAGTAAATAAAATTTCAGAATTTAGACGGAGACGTTAGAGTTGAGTAGATTTTAGAAGTAACCAGAAACCAAAACCTGAACAGGAGACAAGGTATAAATTTCTATTCCTGTTCAAAAGACAGGTGATGATTGTGAAGCGCCCGATAGCTGAACCTATCTATTTGTATCCCCCACTAACCAAAATACAACGAGTCTTAGCTGAATTGTTTCAAATTGTTTGCTCGAACATAACGGGTGACGATTTTTAGTCGCTATGGAAAAGAATGAAAATATTAGAATCAACAAAGGAAATCGTCTGCTCTCTCTCTATACATCCACCCATTACTTTTTTTTATTCTAATTGTTATTATAGTCCGCTTAGAGCCAAAGATAATTACTCCATTTTTTTTTATATAAGCTCCGATTTCAAAACATTACAGACTCTTTCGTGAAAAAAATACTTTTCCAGCAAAATGCTTTCCTTGTTGTTGGTATAGAATTTCATAATAAATAACGTTGTTGCTCTCTGACAACTTTTGTTTGAATAGGCGTCTTAAACAGACAAGCAGTAAATTGATTTGTATGTTGGACATTTGCCTTAAAAGTTTTGACTACAAACAATATATATATTATTTAACAACGGGAACAATGTGCTAAAGCTTTTTTTTTTTTTTAACAGGAGGACGTCAACTTTAATTCTAGCCAGATTTCTTTTGCGGGGTCCCGAATAAAAGCAACTATCATACAATATGCATCTTAACCTGGTTCATCCACCTCCCCGGGTTTTTTTTTTTTTTTTTTGCTTTTTGAATAGGAGTAGAAATTTATCTCTTGTTTCCTGTTTTTTTTTTTTTTTTTTTTTTTTTACACCCAGTAGCTCTTGCATCTTAGTGGCATTACCACCTTTCTTGGAGTGAATTGATTAAAAAAATCAATATATATATATATATATATATATATATATATATATATATATATATATATATATATATATATTCATTCAAAAAGTAAATCAATAAAATTAATGTACTTAATGAAGAATTCATTTCGCTAACAGATTGAATAAGGCATTAACTCACTGACCATTCGTTGAACGACAAGATCCTTGTTTTTATTAATTGTAAAATGGATTAGATGTTCGGTCGATATTGCAAGTACTTTCGGTAAATATTTACCAACCTCAGGTATAGAACTTATTTTTTCCTCAATTTCAGGCAATTTCGGGTAAAATTCCAAGACAAAAATGAATGTGATACGAGACGAAAGATGAAAAGGGAATTCGTCATTAATTACGTTAACTTTACTGATTTACTTTTTGAATGACTACTTTACAATATTAATTAAGCTGCATTATTTAATATATATATATATATATATATATATATATATATATATATATATATATATATAAAAAGTGAACATTGACGATTGCGTCTAGCATGAAACAGCCTGTCGCCTCTAAGAGTTGACTTTAATGTTCACTTTTATATTTACATACGCTCTATCTCTTATATTGAGCACTTTATCCATCTATATATATATATATATATATATATATATATATATATATATATATATATATATATATATATATATATATATAGAGAGAGAGAGAGAGAGAGAGAGAGAGAGATAGAGATAGGCAGGCACACTATGGTGTAATGAATAGCGGCTTGGATTGAGGAATCGGAGAGCCGAGTTCGAATTCCAGTCAAATTCATTACATTCACTTACGTGCTAATACCCTTTGGTTCTATAGCCTTGGATGGCAACCGGTCTAGGAGAAGGACAACTCTGAATTCAAAACCTGCGGAGGGTCGTTTGGGGACCTTGTGGCGCGTAGTGCACCAGGTCTCTGTATTCGTCCCTTCAAAAAGTGTGCCTGGTCTTGTACGAAACCTTCACCACTATAGTCAAATCTCATGTGCTGTTGTCGGGCTGTCGGTTTCCTGGGAAATGATCTGCTTGACCCTCATACGTCGAATTCGATGGGAGAGTCGAGTATATATATATATATATATATATATATATATATATAGATATTTATATGTGTATAAACACATATACACATAAATGTTCCTACTATTATTGAAAACAACACAAGAAAATACAATTTAAACAATCAAAATATGAGGAGAAATTAACAGCACCCCACCAAAAAAAAAAAACCTTGAAAATAACTAAAGAAGTGGTCGAAAGGGCTTGTGACAATAAACACCACGGACAATTTTTATAATCCTTTACTCAAACAAAACGGAAAAATTTAAGAATACTAGAAAATTTCCCTTGTCTGATATTCAATGAAACATGTATGAAAGAAATGTTTGCTCTCAAATGTATATATATATATATATATATATATATATATATATATATATATATATATATATATATATATATGTACGTGTACGTGTACGTGTGTGTGTGTGTGGGCATGTGTATACCAGTAATGTAGTTACATTGAAAATATATTTGGGTTAAGTGCCCGACATTTCTGTACAGCAAACATAGTTCTTAGTGCGCATGTCTGTACGGGTGTATATGCGCGGAAATATATGTTTATCTTACGAAGGAGAAAAATAGGTTGTGTGTGGATTGGCTCTTACATTAAAAAGAAAGGTTTATCTATAACCGGTTCAACACTCATTTCTTCGGATTATTTTGCTACTTTTGTTCGTATCACAGCGTTTCAGCCTATTCATTCTACGGTCTTCTTTAGGAGTATATTACCCAATGATAGAAAAGCGCTTTTTTAAAAATCCGAAATGATAGTAAATAGAACAAAATTTCCCACTTAGGAAAAAATATATCAATTGTACGTGCTGGTTACATGGTTCCTGTTATATAGCGTACTTATGAACATCCATATGTATATCCCAATCCTCATAAATATGTTTGACACTATTGTAAGTGGGGGTAATATGCTGTTTAAGTAGTGTCCCAATAGCAGTGGTTTACCTACACCACGTCGCTGGCGAGTATTGCATTTTGTTGATGTTATAAAGATTACCATTTCATTTCCAATCTCCGTTTTGGTTATTCCTCATTCAGTAACTTTTATTTAGGTTACAACTGTTCCATAAAATTTTATTTAAATACTGCTTGTTGTACACTGTTTTTTAGTAACATGTCATGTAATTTTAGCTGAGTTTGGCCTTGCATATAGAAACAAAGAAAAGAGTATTGTACTGTTATATAATATCAGTCCTCATATATGGCATTTAGTGATAGACAATCTCCTCACAGATGAAGAGAAGCAGCAGTGACATTATTCTACAGAAGGATGCTAAGAATATCATGGATCTAACAGGTTAGCAACAACGATGTTCTGGAAAAAATTGAACAAAAAAACAAAAAACAAAAAACAAATAAAAAAACGGGACACTTATAGTTAATACCAGGGAGAGAGAGTTGAAATTTCGAGAGGCCAAAACGCAGAATGATGACATGGAAAATTTGACACTCACAGTATAGATCGAAGGTAAGATAAACAACGCATAACCTACCTGGTGAGCGAGAGTGAATGGAAGGTGGAGCTGTGTTTGTGAGAGTTGGTAAAAAGACAACATTTATTAAGTACTACAGGAAATTGTGGAAAGCCATGATCGCCAACGTCAATTTGGATGATTTTTTTTAGCGGCATATTAACCTCTCTGGGTTATTTAATGCCGAAATTTAAATATTTTGTACATAATTTTATACTTTCAGTTTAAGGCTATGTCTTTATATTTATAGTTTGTAGATCAGAAAATGTATTTTTGGGAACTTCAACATGATGTAATGGTTAGTAAATTTATTTCGCTAGATCAATTACAACTATCCTTACTGGGTACCCCATACTCTTGGCCTTGTGCCACTACTATGCTTAGTTTTGTGATGTCGAACACGTTTCCTATGTCAAGCGAAATCTCGTTATCATTTCTAAAATGCTCGTTATATTTGAGACTTCGTAGACGCCGGTTCTAGTAGTAACGCCTTCCAATAACATTCGTCTTCCAATAATATTCGCACTAGTAATACTTGTTCAAGTAGTAATCGTCAAATAGTATAGTGATTTTCCAAGCGTAGCTTGGATGTGGCACAAGGCTGAAAGTATGGGGCACCCAGTGAGGATCGAACTCATTACTTAGTCGTAATTTTTCTATACAACCTTGTTAACCATTACACCGCCCCGAGTTGCCCAATAGTATAATGGTCAGA